CCTGCTACCAAAACCCTGCCACACAAACCCAGTACACACAGGTTTTTTGCTATTTGTGAAAACTATCATCCTCTTTTCTTCCTGTTTTTTTTGCTAAAAATGCAAAACATAGCTAGAATGAGAACTGCTCACTTTGCAAAAAGAGAGAGAAATCTGAAGTCCATACATCCATGTCAGATTGTTCAGTACATTTACAAGCTGAGGAAGTTATTGCCGTATCAGATTTATTTACAAGTCCTGTTTAAACATCTCCCAACAATATTAATTAGCATTAACAATAGTGTCAGTGTTTGAATCCTGCACCGTTCCTTCTGGGATTTTGATATCAGTGACAGACTGGAGAATAACAATCATGAACAGCCAGAGTGATTTAGGTTGGAAGTACCCCTGGAGATTTCTAGTCCAAGCCCTCACTCAAAGCATGACCAGCTTAAAGCAGCCACTACATCTAGGATACTATTTTGTATGGTCTGATTCCCACCAGTCTTATAAATGTGCACTTTATTTGTAATACTAATTTGTTTAGGTTATGTTTCCAAGCACTGGGGTTAGTTCTGGCTATGCCAAGAAGTTAAAGGGTCTCCTTCTAAAAGACTACTCGTGGATAGTTTCTCTCAAATTTGTTTGTAGAAGATGTTGCTTTACACCTTCTTCTTCTCATTAAGCTAATTAGATTGAGCCCTTTTCATCTCTTGCAGTAAATTGTGTCAGCTGGGGAGGTATTGGGGAGTTCCAGAGCCACCTCTGGTAGACCTCTGAGTACCTCCACAGTTAAGGTCCCATAGCCTCTCTGGGACCCTGTGTCAGTGTTTGACCACTCTCACAGTGGGGCAAACAGAAAAAAAGTCTTATTATCTACTTGGAATTTTTATTCTTGCAGCTTGTGTCTTTTGCTTCTTTCACTGTGTGCCTCAGAGGAAAGCCTGACTCTATCTTCTCTGCACCCTCCTATTTGGTAGCTGCAGGCAGGAAAAGGTCTTTGCCTTCTCTTCTGCAGGCTGAGTAGACCCAGTTCCTTCAGTGTCTCCTTGTATGTCTGCTGCTGCAGCCCATGCCCGTCTTGGTGGCCTTTGCTGGACTCAGCCCAGTACATGTGTCTTTTTTGGACCAGGCAGTCCCAAACTAGACACTGCATTGTAGATGTGGCCTCACAAGAGCCAGAGGAAGGGTCACCTCCCTCAGCCTGCTGGCTGCACACTTGCCAACACAGCCCAACCTATAGTTGGCCTTCTTAGCAAGAAGGACACACTGCTGACCTCTGTGCAACTTCTTGTCCTCCAGGACTCCCCAGATCCTTTTCTGTGAAGCTGCTTTCTGGCCATCATCCCTAGCCTGTCCTGGTGCCACAGGAGTAGGACTTGGACTTCTTTTTGCTGAGGCTGATGTCCACCCCTTTCTCCAGCCCCTCAAGGTCCCTCTGAATAGCAGCCCTGCCCTCCAGTGTATCAGCCATGCTTCTCCCCCCGCACCTCCCAGTCTAGTATCATCCATGAACTTGCAGAGAGCGTGCTCTATCCCGTCGTCTCTGTCATTTAATAAAGACATTAAGCATTATCAGCCCCTGAGGGACAGCAGTAGTAATTAATTCATTCAGTTACTTGCTGAGTTCAATTTTCTGCTTCATTCGAAGATTTGTGTGTTTCCTCATAAATCAGTTTCTCCTCTGGGCCTCTGAGCAGCCTCTGACATCCACAGAGGAGATCAGTGACTCAGTCCCAACATCCCTCTCCCCCTGAGCTGTGACAATGTGCCAGAGGGTCTAGATCCTGACTCATGGCCCACACCGAGCTCTTCACCTAGCATTATCCTGTGCAGACAAAAAGGCATCTTGTTAGCCACGGTGCAGACTCTGTAGGAACCAACTTTAGGAGTGTGGTTTGGTGGAGCAACAAGACGGGTGGGTGGTTGACCAGCAATACTGGGTGTCCCTTCCCAGGAATGTGTGCCCATAACCCCCTTCCTTCCTGGTGGAGACTGCATTGGACCACCCCGGGTCACCTCCCAGGGCGATTGTTTCTTCTGTCTGCAGAAGCCTGTTGTCTTCAGGGCAAGGTCACCTCTCTGCACGCAGTTGCTCGCTCAGCTTGAGCCTGTACTGGCCGCCACAGCGGGGCTTCCCCAGGGGACCGAGTGTGTGGGGGTGGTCCTACTCCACCCAGGTGGCAACTGATGCTGCAGGAGTATTTGGGATATAGAAGAAAAGGAAGGAGAAGGAAGAGTGGCCGCTCTGCTTTGCCTGTCTGCCCACCCGCCTGTGGAGGCAGCTCTCCATTTCCCACCCCCTCCCACGAAGGGGGCTGTGGGGCTGGTCCCGCTGGCAGAGCTTCCTCAGCCACCTCACCTCTGCGGTGAGGAGCCTGTCCTTGGGGGCCAGAGCACAGCCCTCTCCCCGGAGCTCTGCAGGAGCACCCTAGAGGAGCCGTGGCCTGAACAGCAGCGCTGGACGCCAGCCCTGGCTGCGTCACGCTCCGCCAGCCGTGTCCGTGTCCGGGACCAGGCCGCTCGCGGTGGCTGATGCCGGGTTAACCATTAACTCCCTGCCCTGAGGCCTGCTGGGGACAGGGCACTGCGAGGTGTGCCCGCTTGGCCTTTCCTGCGATGCTCTGGTGACGTCGCAGTGGGACCCTGCCAGGGTCCAAACGGCCTTTCCCACCCGCCAGCAGCCGCGCAGCAGGGCCTCGGCCTGCCAGGGAGGGCGGCGGGCGCGCCCTGGC